AATGTAGAAGAGCTAAAAACAAAAATTAAAGAATGTTGCAAAAATATTCAAGCTTCAATGATAAAAAAAGCTACATCATCTGAAATATTGAAGCGTTTATCTTTTTGTTTATCCGAAAATGGTAAACAATTTGAACATTTGTTAAAATATGTATAAATATAATTAGGTAGTATTGGTAGTAATAATACTGTTATAATATTTCATTAAGTATAATATTTGTACATACCTACTTATTGTATTAAATTGTCTTGTTATCTATTGTAATTTCTTCTTCTTTTCAACCATAATCGAATAATGTGTTTTTCAAACATTAAATTGCACAATGTGATCAACGAAATTAAATATTATATACAAATTAATAAAAGAAGATTACATTGAAAAAATACATTAATACAATAATAATTATTACAATTATTGTAAATATAAATAATATGACCAGTGGGTCAAGGGTACCTAGCATTATTATATTTTATTTTATTGTTAAAATATAAACTTATAACTTATTTGTTTAATATTTTTCGGCTTTACTTAGATATGTATTACTATAATAATAATGAATAAGTCAATAAAACGAAAACCTTGAATCCACGGTTGGCGTGATTTAAATAATTAGATATTATAGATAGCGAGCGACTTAAAATTGAAATTATAAATGTAAACTACAAACAAGAACATTGAAGAATCTAAATAATGTTTATTGTTTATGATTATTACTATTGATTAAGGATTAAAATAGAATAGGACTGGCGGGGGTGGATTTGTAACGGGGACATGTAAAATAACATATAAATGATACACAGCGACCCCGTTACATATTTTCACTTTCAATCGTCAATAGGAGTTGTCTGAAAAATGATTATTATTTTTATTCACATAGATTCCTTTACGCTTTTACCACGGGTGACGGGTACCTACGGTTACCCGTTACTCCTGGAGTTTGATAAGAAATGTTTACCAGCCACCACGATTTAAATATATTAAGTAAGATAATCTTATATTATCTATGGTGTGTATGTATATGTATATGTGTATATTGTGTACAGTATACATATAATATTGTGGCGAACCAGTGCCTTCGCCACATACTCCCTCCCCATGTCGGTCGCGCTCCCTGCGTTGGCAACACCGCTCGGCCCTCCGCGTCGTTCGCGACCTCGAAGTGTCGGGCGGCCGCCAACGGCCTCTCGCTCGGCAACCGTCAACCGACGCACACGACGCCGTTCCGAGCACCGCCGACATCTTTTTGCCACTGGCTTCATCGCACTTTGCAAAGTTCACGTCCGACTTTAACAATAAATATTTCATCTACTCAAAGTCGTCTCTTAGTACATTTTTTTCGTACCTTGCGTATGTTGGCCGCGTAAGTTGTGTAACACCTATTAAAACTTACGCGCGCCACAATATGTTCATGGTGTGTACATATGGATTATGATATATTATTAACACAGATATGTGATTATCACGAACTATGATTATAATCATAGTTCGTGGTGATTATTAATTATCTCAATGATACCAGCATATACCAGTGATAAAACTGCAGTGACGCCACATCGTAAACTATTTACAGTGATGCCCACGTTGCCACAGCGCTGCGCTCGGACAAAAAAATCGAAAATATCCCTCGAGTTTCTACGCAACATTACGTCCTCAGAACGATAATTATCATAGATGTATTTATATAAAACAAAAAATTGTTTCCGGGTGAATTTTACCGCTACCGCCACAGTGTGTGAGCCTTTAACTATTGTAGCCCGTATAGGTACAAAGTACAATGATTATCAAACCTTGGATTGAACGATATCGATTTTATTACATTTAACTTCTGGTCTTTACAAATAGAAAATACTACATAGTTATGCTGCAATAACGTATGAGCCATGGGGTGAAATGCATGAAACCCTGCTGGATACGCTACACTATGTGCATAAAATGTCCTTACTATATTAATTTGAATTGTGTAATATTTATTACTCTGGGACATAAAAATCCTAATTGTTGCGGTACCTACAACTGACTAGGTATACACATTTACACACAAACACCTCCCAGAACAACTCAACTTTGAAGGACAATATTTCATCAACGGATTAACAAAAAATGAAAATTTAAAGTGATAATTCATAAAAAAAATAGCATTATTAATTTATGAAATTTTAAGTATAGGTTACCATTTGAAAATCAAAAATTGATAGTAGTTTACCTAATTAATATAAGGGTGAAAAATATAAAACATTTATACAAATGTAGTAATACATAAAACTAAAATTAAAAAAAAAAAAAAATCTAAAAAAGTTAATACTTTTCGAGATAATGAGTGTTCAACGATAAAAGAATCATAAATATAAATAAGTCATACGATAATCGCTGTATAATCACTCTTATGTCTTATCATATTCGGACAAGTGGTATCACTCTTTTTTATTTAACTTTGAAATTTGAATCTTGTCTGTTTTTTTGGATGTTTGTCCACGCGATTTCTCGACAATGGTGAAGTGTTGTACATGTGTAACTTGATTATTTAATTTAGATTTTATACTTTGTGCTATTTAATATTTATTTTTAATAAAATTACTACCTGATACAATTCCTCGTTTTGTTTAACCAATTCCTTATAAGTAGACTTGGAATACGCATATCTTTTTCATAGTTATAATCATGGTCTGATAACTTGCTACTTTCTGTTGAAGTGACAGACATAATCAAAGTTAAAATTTAAAGACTGTGTCAAGAAAATAAACCAACCATGTGCACCATTAACCTTTTTTTTAGTAGACCTACCAGCAAAATTATTTTAAAAGGGTATGTTTGTTTACAAAAAGTTATAAAAAGGACTAGCTTAAATACATTCTAGTAAATTAACTTCGTTGTTTTTCAATTTAAATTTGTTTTACTTTCAGAATTGTTAATTATTATCTGCCAACGTGGATATTGCTATTTGCTATTAACTTACCCAACACTTGCATGCAACATAGACTGTTTGAGAGAGGATTTCCGAGGAATTTAATCTCATGCTGTTTACAAAATTAATTAATCGTGTTTAATTTCTACACATATTTTGCACTTTAAAAATGATAACCAATGTTTCTACATTATACATAAGGTACCTAATATCATATTATTCAGTTTTTATTAAATGTAATTTAGATTTTTGTATTTGGTTTCAGGTACATTACAAACATTACAATTAATGTATTGATACTCGACGACGAGCCTAAAATGTGTAATTAATCTTTAAAACATATTTTATGGACAAAATTATTTATAGATAGTATTTGCACATAGTTGTAAGTAAAATATTTTTTCATGCTTATTTTTCCGTTTATAACAAACGTAATTTGATTTCAGAACAAATTCATACTTATTAGTTGTTATTTCTATTTTGTGAAGCTCATACTTAAATGTTCAATATTTATGGATATTTAAAAACTAGAACAAAGTATTGTCACTTTATAACATTTTATTAAGTAGGCACTGTACTACAACATTATTTTAAAGTGTAAGTAGTTATACCAAATCTTATAAAAAGTACCTTAGCTTAAAGACTTAAATTAAATAATTTTAGTAAATTAACTTCATTGTTTTTAAAAATGATTTTTTTTTCTTTCAGGAAGGTTAAATATTAACTGGCAATGTGGATATCGCTATTATTTCACAAAAATCTTGAATGTGACTACAGTGATAATTTGAGAGAAGGTTACCAGATGTTTAATTTCTATTCCAATTACTTGCACTTCAAAGATGATTACCAATGTTTCGTTATATAATACATAAGGTAATATTATATTCTTTAGATTTTTTTTAAATGTAATTTTAGTTTTTATATTTGGTTTCAGGAACATTACAACAATTCAAATTTAAGTCTCGTGCATGCAATTATTATAACAAACCTAAAATGTCCAATCAATCTGTGAGATATATTTTATGGATAAAATAACTTTTAGATAGTATTTGCATATAGTTGTAAGTAACATATTTCTGAGTGTTATTATTAAACCTAATTTTACATAATAATTGTAGATATTTAATAATAAGCCATTGAAATCATGAAGACAAATATCAAGTATTTTAAATTTTTTATCGTCAAGTGTAATTTTTTTTTACTCAATTTATTGGCATCTAGAAATGAGTGCCAAAACCGTTTAATCAACTGTTGTGGGATCTGTTTTAATTTAAAGAAAATAATTTTAGCATGCACAAATGTATTTTCATTTTATACATTTCATATGAAATTGTAAATCTTTTTATAAAAGTAATGATCATATTTTAAGCTGTGCATTAATTCAAGAATCTACATTAGTAGGATATCATGGTTTTTCATATTTTATTTTTTTAGTTGATTCATTTAAATATTTGTAATATTAACGGTCTGTAAAAACTTGATCTATAGCTATTAAAATTGAAATAGTGTGTCATATTAAATTGTAATTAAACTGCAACGTAAGCAATAAGGTTTATATTATAGTATTAATGTGGTCACTTTTCGATATTTGGTAGTTATAGGTCAGGTTAGTTACATTTAAGACAAAAGTAATATTAAACAAATATATATTTTCATTACGTAAACGATTTTAACATTTAATAATTAAAATAATAATTAACTTTTATTTTAATAAATGTTCAAAATTTTGACCATTTACTTCTAAGCACATTTCCATACGTTTCAACACTTCGTGGTTGGTTACTTTCAATAGCATTTCCCTAGGAATTGATGCACAGGCGTCTACTATTTTCTTTTGAAGTTCTTCTATAGTGACTGATTGTGTTATATAGACAACTTCTTTTAAGAAACCCCAAAGAAAAAAAATCTAGTGGAGTCAAATCTGGACTACGAGCTGGCCATCTAATTTCTGGACTATATGTGCCTATTTATTAAAAAAAAAATTAATTTCTGAAATAGTTAATTTGTCTCCAAAAACATGATTATCAATCCAGTTGACTCCAAATATTTCTGATAAACATTCTCGAACCATGTTACTGTTATGTGCTGGGGCTCCATTTTAATGATAGTACATTTTTAAGCGTTGCTCCAGTGATACATTTTCCAAGAGTTTTGGAATTTCATTGTTTAAAAAGTTTCTATATTTATTCCCAGTTAGTGTACCATCAAAAAAGTATGGACCTATTAAAGTGTCTCCCAAAATTCCACACCATACATTAACTCCCCACTTAACTTGAAAGTTAACATCTTTAGTCCAATGAGGGTTTGAATCGGACCAATAATGACTATTATGTCTGTTGATCATCCCATTATTTGTAAACCGTGATTCATCTGTCCATAAAATTTTTGTAAGGAAATCCGGTCCTTCATCAATTTTTGTTAAGAATTGAGCTACCATGTATAATCTTCTTTCAAAATCAGTTGGACGTAAATGGTGAATTAATTAATGTTATTCCAGTTTCAGCTTACAACAAATAAATATAAAAAAATTGTCAGTTTAATTTAAGTCATATAAATTATACAATTTGTATTGATTGCTATGAATAACTATGATCTTAGCCATGAAATTAGTATAAATAATAATCATAACAAAAAAATAATTTAAAAAAGTGTTAACAAATGTTTTAATAATTCAAAAATTTGATTACAAACCTGATATATTCTACGAAATGATGTATGTGGATCCTTATATAAATGTGCAAGAACCATAACAGTATTTTTCTCATTTATTACTCTCTTACATCTTACACTTTTTATATTTTTTTTATTGAAAGAACCATGTGAAAGTAAATTCTTTTGTATCCTTGAAAATGTAAAACGGCTGGGTATTGTACGGTTATCATAAAGTTCAGCATATAACTTAACTGCTGCTGTAGCATTATTATTACACTGTGTGTAACATTTTAGAATATCCATTTTTTCAACATTAGAGTATGACATGGTTTAAATGATATTAAAAATAAAAATGTTCATACGCTTGTGATCTTACTGATATTAATGCGCATCGAAAAAAAAGTATCGAAATAAAATTTCTAGGATGCAATAAAATATAGTCAAAGTATATCATATTAACTGGTAGTATTAGTATTTTCCCAAAATTCTTTAAATAAAATGAAAATATATTTGTGTTTTATTTAGCATGCAAATTGCAAATGCATTTTTACTTATGTACTTTTTTTCAAATTTATTAGAAAGAAAATTGTTAATGATTAAAATTTGTATGTAAAAATGTTTATATTAAAAAATATTATTTTTATTTAAATTGTATTATTAAAGATGTCTATACATTTTGCATCTAAATATTATATTCGGAATTTTTCTCATTTTGAAATCATTTCACCATATATACTGGATGTATTGTGTATCATAAAAATTATAAAACCTTATGTTTATTTATATTTTAATAAATTGAATTCATTATTCTAACTGTTGTTTTTTATTTTTAAATTATATTTATATTTATTTATTATAGATATAAATTATAAATTGAGTTTCTTTGGGTAGTAAAAAAACAAAAAAATATTAAGAACTCAAAAATATACTGTACTTTGCCATATTGAACATTCTGTATATGTATACTTTCAATATAATATGGAGATAAGAGTAATAAAGAATATAAATACAGAGTAGACATGGGGATTTCATTTTGAATTTCATGGTTTATAAGGATAGGTATATTTTGGAGATTTTGTGAAACTGGTTTTGAAGTCAATAAAGATAAGTGAAATACTAGACTAATAAGACTCTAAGACTGAGACATAGGGATTTCATTTTAAATTTAACTGTGCACAAGGTGTCATACTATTGTCAGTTCCTATTGTAATTTTCTAAAGGAAATATTAAAGTGTGTGGTGTGCAATTTACATTTTGGTATGGACGAATTTAAAGATTTATATATTACTTATTTAAATAACAATGAAGACGAGGACAACCAAATGTCTGAGTTGGAGTTAAATTTTAACAAACTTTGGTTAAGAATGGAAAAAATGTAACATACATACACATTAATTACAATTATACAATTGTACATTTATCACAATTACAATGCAGATAAATCTTTTGATTACTTGAAGAATGCTAGACTTAGACTCTAAAAGAAGCATCAAAATCTTATCATATTCCTAGGAATATGATATGTTAATTAGGTATTTTTTCTAGATTCTAGATTAGGTAATGAATACTAGTGTAATTTAATTTTTATTATATTTTTAAATTATTTATACCAAAAGTCAAAAACTATAGTTCTTCATCTGAGGATGATACATCTACACTTAAAAAATTAATTTTTTTTCAATGAAAGCAAGATTTTTTTCATCTTGTTATACTCAATCCAGCAATTCGGAGGATCGGCGTGCTTATCAACTCCACTCTTGCGATTGAATACACAACATCTGACCTGAAAAAGTTAGTTTAAAAATTATTAGTCATAATCAACCTATTATAATATTCAAAGAAATTATATTATTTCTGTTTGTGTGTGGGTTTTTTTTATGATAATGAATTTTTAGCAAGTTTTGAGTTTATAATTTAGCAGAAAGTAAAAATGCTCATAATTTACATTATTGTAAGAACCGCACACATAAACACAGATAATATACTTATCTTGAAGTTTCATAACAGGTTACGCTTGTAAGATGGAGACAACAAATGCCTAAATAGTGTAATAGCGTCCTCTTGAGATTTACACTATGAAATTACCTCTCCTTGATGACTCCAGTATCTTTGACGTTTTATGGCCGGGTCAATTTCAATTTTATCGTTCAAGGTTTTGATGTCGAGCTTTTTATATACCATAGCCAAATTGGAGCGCTTTGGACAGATTTAGTGGTCATATAGAATTACACTAGATTATAAAAAAATTTGTTTTATGTTAAATTTTAAGACCATATTGCTAAAAATACACATATGTACCTAATATAACTGTTAATATTATACGTCATATAACGTGGATTACACGTAGTAAACTCTTGAAAATAAAATTTCAATTTTAATAATTTGAGATTATATGATTAAACAGTTTAATGTATCGGATTCTTTTAATGTATAGATTTCTAAGTTTAATTAAAATGTGAACATTCTTTTTCATCAATGAGTTTTTCTTGAGCTAATTCTTGTTTTTTTTCAATTTTTTCTTTTTCGACCAATACTTTCAATTTCACAAATTATTATTAATCACATAGCCAGCTAAAAATTCCTAATTTGATTTAGGATATAATCTACATACTAAACACAAAATAAATATCTATATCTATGTATATTATCTTTTAAGTTGTAATGATTGATGTTGTCACCTAATTTAAATTATTTATAAACTAGCATACAAATTATAAAGCTTTAACATTAGCACAATTTTTAGTTTTCAATACATTATTTATTTATTTTTTTCATTCCGAAAATCGGTTAAATGATTATTGATGTCCCTCTCCACTTATATTCCTCTTCAACTTCCAGTATGTTCCTATTCTGGTACCTTCAATCACTTGCTTTAGAAATGGAGTTCTAGGCCTTCCTTTTCCAGGTTTCCTCCTTATTACGTGTCCGAACCATGCTTTTCTTCTCAATCTTAGCGTACTCTGTATTGATTTTTGATTCCCCTGAATACCTCAACATTTTTTTTATCTTTTCTGTCTATTGAATTTTCAGCGTTTTCCAACATCATACTTTAAAAGCTTTTATTTTGGCTTTCTCAGTCTTCAGTAGTGTCCCAATCTCTGCTCCATATAGATCTACATTCCACACAAAGCCTTTTATAAGTGATTTTCTGCTGTCTAAACTTATTCTATTTGAGGTAAAAATTAAAATTCAAATCAACATTTGACGTAACACTGATAAGTAATAAGCAAGACATAAATTTGAATTTTAACCACAGATATCTGTGATTTTAACAAACTTTGAAAATTATTTAAAAATTAATGACTAAACCTAATTAAAATGTTTAAACACCAAAATTGTTTTTAAAAACTTATTTATAAAATAGCCATATTTTATTTATTTTATATCACTGTTTATTGTTATCAATATTTGGTATCTGTGTTTTAAATACAATATAAATGTCGTTTATAAACCATTAGGTATACTGCGAAGAAGAGGGCAAAGTACAACCAGTGTAATATCTTTCATAGTGGTCGGTCCCTAATTATTTATATTTATATTTCATAGCAATTATCTTTTATTTCTTATCTTAAAGTTATAGCTGCACTCGCGTAATCTAGAAGCTAACCAGATATGTAGTAGCTATGTTTATTTCTATTATAATATGTATTTCTGATTGATTATTACATAATACATATTAGAACTGTGGAATCATGTAAATATGTCGCATTGGTCTTACCGACTATAATTGACTATTGTTCAGTATTTTATTGTAGGTAGGTGTATACTGTATAAGTTTTTAACATACTCGTTAAAATAAAAAGGATACCTATTATTTTATATTTCCTTTGTTTTGAAAATAATTGTCAGGTGTTAATGTCCTATATTAATTCATAAGAATTTAGTAACTAGTAATTGTTAACGAATATTTTATATTGTATACCGAATTACAACTATCCAGCTCATATCAATTTAGAAAGCATTTCGTAAATAGTCCATCTATTATCCTTATTCCTTGGTATTTGAAGAAGAATAACTCTGGAAGTTTTCATTCAAATTTCGATTACAATACGTCAAAATGTTCAGAAAAATAACCAGATTCAGGTTTTGCTATAAAATATATATGTTGTCATTTGAAAAACCAAAGTTGCCATCGCCACAGGATAATCCTTAAATGTTTTGAAAAATCTAAGTACACGAAAATATCGTCTTTAAATACACTTAAAAATTCCAAAAATCAGAATTTGAATATATGCATAATTTAAGCATAAAAATGGGGTGAGCTTGCTTAAAAAATCACCCTGTATAATATAAAAACAAATGAATACTTTAGTATAATACCTAACAATATTAAGGTAGGTACATTATCAGACTTGATTAAAACATAATAACAAAAACAATATACATTTTTATAAGGCATTGAAAAGAATATCATCATACTCTTCTAATATATCATTAGGTAAATTACATTTCTTTTTTGAATAAATATAATTAGTTCCAATATTTTTGATAACTTTATTTGGTAATATAAAATGATGGCAACATTTACCATTCCTTTTCAGACCAGATCGTATTTGTAGTAGAGATGTCAATAGCTCAGTTCCCATTATATTTCTTGTTTTGCTTTTTATGAAGTTCATCTGGCTAAACACCCTCTCTACTTCGGCATTTGAAAAAGGTAATGACAAAGTCGTTAGTGCTAGTTCAGAAAATTCTTTTAGGGGATTCTCAACACAGGTATCTGTGTAGCTCTTGACTTCAACCCAAAATTGTACAACATTGGTTGTTTCATTCCACAGTAAAACA